CTAGGGAGCAAATTAGGCTGAAAACATCTTCTAGAGATGGCAAGAAAGGAATCGTACGCCACCCTAAAATAAGGCAAGTTATGCAGTAAATGTTTCATTTATTGGCCTTCTTCCATTACTATTAGGGTTAAAAGACATCTTGTCAATAGGAAAAGTGTATTTACGGAGGACTGATGTCTTTCAGAAAGGTGTTCCTGTCACAGATGCCTATAGCAGTAGTGATCGGCTTATGATAAAACCCTGAAGAAATGCATACTTCTCCCCATTAACCCTTGGATCATCAGGCATTATTCACTTTATAACCTGGACCTGCTATTAGCTGCAGCAAGGTGATCAAGCCAGGCACTCCAGAAATCTGTCAGAACACACGAGCGCTCCTCGGGGTGTGTGCTTTGCCAAGTTCCTTGATGGAATCTTTGTGGGGTGGGGAAAGGACGCCTGTGAGGTGGGTCCTTCTGCCTACCCCTTGCTCCTGCTAAAACTGCAAACTCTTGGGCATCCAGTTTTTAATGTTCCTAAGTTGGTTGGGTAAGCGAGGAGCTTTCCTGAAGGTCCAAAGAAGGAACCATCACCCATGCAGAACAAAAAGCCAACAGAATCTCACAGTGGAATCAGGACTTTGGCTTCTAAACATTTCCTCATTTTATAGCTTCCTTGCGTTTTCAGATTTTTTCCTGGCTTCCCTCAGTCAGCACACCCCCTGCACAGATAAATCCAGCACAGTGGATAACAGACCATCCGTCTTGGAACCTGATCTTTGAAGGAAAATCACACAAGAACACAAGTGCACACACGCACGGGTGTACCTATCACTGTCAAGGGTAATTTAACAGACTCTTGCCAAGTGATCCGAAGAGCTGAATATGGCTGTCCACATGTCCTCCTTCCTTCTGCTAAGTCCGAGCAGACTAACCTTGTCCTTCCTCAATTTCAAAGTCAACCTCTCACTACGGTTTGTCTTTGTTGGTGCGCTATGACGCTCTCAGTCACTACTGGGGCGTGGGAGGAAACTATGGAATCATGGACTGGGGAACATTAAAAAGCTCCCAAGAAAACATCCGGTCCAGTCTTCTTACTGGCCAGGTGAGTGGATAAAGGCCCATAGGTAACAGGGCGTATGGCCAGCTCATTTCTGCAGTCCCTATTAGTCACACTGCCATATTTCAGTGGGCGCCTAACTCTCCACTGTAACTTCTCCCATAGGGAACCTATGTAAGGAAGATGACTTATATAAACTATTGCTTCCTCCTCACACTCCAGGATACAGCGGTGGTGAACCTACAGCACATGCGCCATAGCAGGTCTCCCTCACTGGGTGAACGAGTAAGTACCCCTCTCCCCCCGGGGAAAGAAGCTTTTACGCTTCAGGATAAAATGCAGATTATTAATATCAATACAGGTCTGCAGAGAAAGATTTCACGGAAGGGAGATTGAAGGAGAAGAAGCAAAAGAGAAGCAAAAGACCAGTGAGTGAAGAGGAGAAAGGAAGGCTGTGGGACAGCTTCTGGCAGCTCAGGACCTGAGCTGGCCCCAGGAAGGGCTCCAAGGATTGAGGATGCAGCTTTTCCCCATCTTGCCCACCTCCTACATGCAGAAGCCGTGGTGGCAAAATTCCTGGCAAGGCTCAGGTGAATGTCAGAGCCAGTCTGCTTTTCCCCCTGTGTTTTTCAAATCTCCGCCACTTGGGTAGAAGTGTTGAGTCCTCTAAACTAAGGGTCATTAGTACCTGGAGACATAAGCCAACTGTTTAAGATTTCATACCAAATCTATAAATTACATGTTTGCATTGTGGGCCAACCTTTTTTTTTTTTTAAATGTATCGTCTTGGATCTGGGCAATCCTTTCCCTCTCTGCCTTTGTCTGTCTGGGCATCCCCACATGTCCTCCCAATGGTCAGAGGTTACTGACCCTCAGATCTTGCTGGTCTTCCCAAGTCTTTTTTTTTTTTTAAATAGCACTAAGCAATGAAATTAAATGTGGCATATGTGCTATCATGGAATAACTTTTAATTGCTTAATTAAATCAGAGATTTAAGGAAGGAATGATTCAAGAGTTCCCTTTGAATGAGCATAATAAAGATCTGCCAGAATGGATGCGATTACTAATCATCAGAAGAAAACCCTTACTATTTATATATGATAAAAAATGCAGGCCAGTACCTTAAAAATAAGGATACTCTTTAAATTTTCAATTCAGTACATTTATCAACTTTTTATTATACAGGTAGTCCTGTAGAGGATATAGAAGACCTCATTATCCAACTTAATTTAGATCAGGTTTTTTTTTTTTTTTTTTTTGAGACAGGGTCTTGCCATGTAGTTCAGGCTGGCCTTGAGCTCACTTTGTAGCCTAGGCTGGTTTCAAACTCACAATGATCCTCCTGCCTCAGCCTCCCCAGTGCTGGGATTATAGGCATGCGCCACCAGGCCTGGTGCCAGATCAGGTTTAGGTTAAAAAAAATCCACAGAGAACAGAGAAATTGCCATAAAACTGAGTTACTATAAATGTGTTCCAGTATAAGGAAATAAGGCCCTATAAAATAGGCCTTAGGAAAATCTACGCTGTACAAAGACAGGTTTAGGAACAAGTATATAGGTGACAATTAGCAAGTGTGTACCATTATGGTCACTTTGCTAAATGTGTAAGTCTAAAAATAGCCAAGTAAAGAGACCTAGGACAAGGAAACTGTTAAATCCATTTCATTCTTCATGTTTTTACGTGGTGTCTTGAAATAATCCCCTTTCTGTCTCCACTCTGCCTCTTAGACACTGCACCCGCCTTATTTATTTATGAAGTCTGAAGGTTAGTCCTACCTGCTGAGACTAATTAGCCCTGTGCTTTGTATCCTATGCAATCCTGTCTGATTAAATGTACACATTTGTTTTACTTCTTTTCAGGCTCCTTCTCACTCTACTTCTGATTTTCTGATTAATATTAAAGTTGGGAGTTACAGTGATTCTCCTCTGCCTCTTCCCCAGCCCATTTTTATTTTGCCCGCATCCTGCTCTTTAGTGTGCAAATGTGCTTGTGAATTTCTTTCCAGTGCAGGGGAATTCGTTGGCCTTGTCAATCTCAGTATCATTATTTTTAAGACTCTTCTTTCTGAGACCTTAGTCTATAAAACAGTTTGGCTGAAACCGCAAACTCTCTAAATATTACATGGCAAATTTGCTTTCTTTTGGAAGTCTACGTGCTGATGGTCCAGCTGAAGAACAGGTGAGCTTTTCTAGAAAAGATGGGATAATTTAATACATTGTGGACTCCAGACCAACAATGCTCCTAATAGGCAATTTGCTAATTCCTATTGATTCCCCCCCACTGCTTTTTGTCTTCTTTCTTTATATTGCAGTTTCCTGTTCACTTCTCCTTGCATTTCTGCTGGAAAACCAATATTTTCGCTCCATTATCCGCAAATCCTGCGTTTTGGGAGTTGGGCCTTTCCCCCTTGATATAATTCTTTTCTTCATTTTTGTAGCAAATCAACCTCCTCCCCAGGCAAGTGCCTAACAATCAACCAATACCTGCCTCAAACCCCAGCTTTCCCACCTTCTCCCTGAGGTCTTCCAGCATCAGCTTGGTGAGCAATTTCCTGCCAGGGCCATCTACATCTTGATTATTTGGTCAATCTTTGGGGATTTCATTTCAAATCTCCTTCGAGAAAGACTCCAGCCCCACTGATCCCAAGGCTTGGTGAACTTTCAGTTTTATTTTCCCTGGCGCTGTTAACGCCCAAACTTTTCACCTCCAAAGTCAGAAAGGACTTTGAATCCTTGCTCATTTCCTACCACCTCCAACGTCAGTAAAAAAAAAAAAAAAAAAAAAAAAAGGTACACTTTACATTTAAAAGAATCATATACTTCTCCTTGATATTTTTAATGCCCTGACAAACCCTAGAGTATTTGTTTTTTGGATAAGAAGTCACCACGGTATCTTTATCCTAATGCAACCTCACATTTAGAAAAGATCCACTACTGATAAACAAACGTGGGAGGGGAGACCCCGCGGGGAAAGAGTTTCTGTAGATGGCCAGGAACTTTGCCCAGCCCCTCCACTTCCCCAGCGCTCTCAAACTGGAGGGGTGAGTTTTCCTTTTGACCACTTCAGCTACATCCCGCCCCTGGGCGGCTGATTTCCCTGCTGGATTAACCACTAAGCACCCCCTCTTCCCCCTTCCCTACATGCTCCCCCTCTTCTCGCTTTCCCCCAGACTTATTTCTAATATTTCTAAAGTGCACTTTTCTGGGCCTCTCCCCATCCCCGCCCCCCAAGTGGGCTTTTCCTTCCGCCTTCCCCGGCTCGGATTCCTGCCCCTCCTCTCCCACTCCGCATTGTCTTCCGAAACCGCCCCTCCCGGAGCGAGGCCCCGCACCCTGCCCGGCCTCCCGACTCGCGCGCCGCGCAGGCCGCTCCCCCCGCGCGCGCCTCCCGGCCCCCTCTCCCGCCCCTCTGCCCCTCCTTCTCCCGGTGCCCGAAAGGATCATTGTTGGCCGCCCCCGCCCCGCCCACCCCGGCTGTTTATTTATGCACACGTCACCCGCCCGGCCCCGCCCCCCGGCATCTCATTAAGGCGAGTGTGTTCCTCTCGCCCTGTCAATAATCTCCGCTCCCAGACTACTCCGTTCCTCCGGATTTCGATCCCCCTTTTTCTATCTGTCAATCAGCGCCGCCTTTGAACTGAAAAGCTCTCAGTCTAACTTCAACTCACTCAAATCCGAGCGGCACGAGCTCCTCCTGTATCTTCGGCTTCCCCCCCCTTTGCTCTTTATATCTGACTTCTTGTTGTTGTTGGTGTTTTTTTTTTTAACCCCCCTTTTTTATTTATTATTTTTTTGCACATTGATCGGATCCTTGGGAACGAGAGAAAAAAGAAACCCAAACTCACGCGTGCAGAAGATCTCCCCCTTCCCCTTCCCTCCTCCCTCTCTTCCCCTCCCCAGGAGAGAAAGACCCCAAAGCAGAAAAAAAGTTCACCTTGGACTCGTCTTTTTCTTGCAATTTTTTTGTGGGGGGGAAAACTTTTTTGGGGTGATTTTTTTTTTTTTTGGCTTTTCTTCCTCCTTCATTTTTCTTCCAAAATTGCTGCTGGTGGGTGAAAAAAAAATGCCGCAGCTGAACGGCGGTGGAGGGGATGACCTAGGCGCCAACGACGAACTGATTTCCTTCAAAGACGAAGGCGAGCAGGAGGAGAAGAGCTCCGAAAACTCATCGGCAGAGAGGGATTTAGCTGATGTCAAATCGTCTCTAGTCAATGAATCAGAAACGAATCAAAACAGCTCCTCCGATTCCGAGGTAGGAAAAGCCCCTCGGGCTGGTGGGGTTTTTTATCTCTTTCCTGGGCTTGGCAAAGGTGCCTGGAAGGGGAGAAGCCGGGGCTGGGGGCGGCGGCGGGCGCCCGGCCGGGCGGGCGGCGTGTGCGCGCGGTGCCACCATTGCAAAAACTTGTAACCCTGTTTTTCTGCCCCCCCACCCCGCCGATGCTCCCCCTTCTCCCCCTCTGCGTGGCGTTTGCCCCTCGCCCTCCCCACCTCCACCCCTCCGGGAAAGGCGGAAAGACGGCCTCCGCCTCGCTCCGAAAGTTTCCGAGATAAATCCCGGGAAAGTTTGGAAGAAGGTGAGTACGCCCCGCGCGCCCCGCAGCCGCCCGGCGCGGCCCC